GACGAGCATGATACAATTGTAGTAACATTTAGAGGCACCGAGCCTTTCAGTGCGGATGATTGGAGTACTGATGCTGATCTTTCTTGGTACGAGCTACCAGATGTTGGCAAAATCCATGGTGGATTTATGAAAGCTCTAGGTTTACAAAAGAATGTTGGTTGGCCTGAGAATGTGGTTCCTAATGACAAGCGCACGGCGCCCTTAGCATATTACACAATTAGAGACATCCTCAAAGAACACTTAACTCATAATGATCAAGTAAAGTTTATACTAACAGGTCATAGTTTAGGTGGTGCACTAGCAATTCTATTCCCAGCAATTTTATTTTTACATGAAGAGACGGAGATATTAAAGAGATTAGTTGGGATTTATACATTTGGGCAACCTAGAGTTGGTGGAGAGGATTTTGGAGAGTACATGCTGAACAAATTGAAAGAATACAACATTGAATATTTCAGATTTGTTTACAACAATGATATTGTGCCTAGGTTGCCATATGATGACACTGCTTTCATGTTCAAGCACTTTGGAGTTTGCCTCTTCTATGATAATCATTATGAAGTAAAGGTAAGGATATTGTTTTCTTACTTGATATAATTAACCTATTTATAAATTTAAGCTTCTAGTAAAGAAATTTAGTCCCACATTCCATTCTCTCATTGTGCTAAGTATGAATTGACTTAGTGGGTCATATAGGTAGAGTTGAATGAACTCAAAAGTCATTTACTTCAATATAATAAAAACACAACTTTAATTGGATTTATAACTGTATATTTAATTAGTTATGAGCTTACAAAAGTTTTTTTTTTTATTTAATTAATTGGTTTATGTAGGTTGTTGATGAAGAACCAAACAAGAATTATTTTTCACTATTTAAAATAATACCCATGAGGATTAGTGCCATTTACGAGCTTATAAGAAGCTTCACAATAGCAAAAACGAAGGGGCCACGCTTTAAAGAAGGAAAACTGTTAAGACTTTTTAGGTTATTTGGATTGCTAGCTCCGGGAGTACCAAATCATTTTCCTCAAGATTATGTTAATTCTACTCTGTTATCACCGCCTGGTGTTTTCTCTCCACACCAAGACAAATCAAAATGGTGGGACAAATTAAAGTTTTAAGGGATTATGAAGAGTGATTGTAATATAATATGTAACTTATTTGTTCATGTTTATGTTCAAATGACTTGAAGCATGCACTATTTTTCTTACTTTAGTTATTGTGATTTGGAATAATTATGAAGCTTTCATGTATTTTTACCTGTTCAAATATATTCTACTATATGATTTTAATTAATTTTCATTTAGTTTACTTCTTTTACTTTTTATTAAGGGTAAATTTTATTTAAATTTTCAATTTTATAAGATAAGAATTGAGGTATAAAACTAATGCTATTCAAATAGGAGTAAAAATATAAAAGTTTATTTTCTTTCCAATTTGGTTAAATATTTTTATAATTCATTGATTCACAGTTAAAAATATAAGTCAATTATTACAAAATTAGAAACAAGAATATAGTTAATTTAATTATATAATTATTACTAAGTTATATACGTATTGAAGATTATTATTATTTAATTAAAAATTCTTGTGTATATTGCAATTAGAATACTCTTTTGTTTTCAATGAAATAATAAATAAAAATATACAATAAGTGATACAATTAAACTAGTAATTTTGATATTTACTCTAAAATAATAAAAAGAAAAGTAATATAGAAAAGCGAGAAGGGCATGTTTGGTTGGAATTTACGCGAGTTATTGCGTTGTTAATACCAAAAATACATGATCAGCTTTCCAGAAGATTATGTATCTCTCCATCTTGATACGAATTAAAATAATATTGTCTGATAACTCATATATGCCTCTTGCATCATATATTTTCTGATAACGTGTAATTAATTATATGGTTATTTAGGGTTTTATAATTAGAACTTAATGGATCAAGAAGAGTGATATATATTAATGTTTGAAGCATGATGTTCACATTGTGATTTAGAGAAGTTTGAGAACTTTAATCCTTTTTCTTTTAATTAATTTCTACTGTTCACTAGTAAAGTTATCAATTTACACTTTTAATTAACACGATTATCTTCATAATTGTCCACGGTTTGCGAATAGCAACATGGATTAGTATGACTCGGGGCATTTTACTTCTTTAATTATTTATTATCATGTTTAACTGAAATATAGCCTAAATCAGAGGCCCAAACATTATAGAAGATTTTGGCCCAGCTACAACCCTATCACGGGTTGAACACGTGTCTCAATCACAGAGCTCAACCACTGTTGTTTGAATGGAGCGTCCGCACCGGATCTTAAGATAGATGATGGATATTATCCCCCAGCTGTCACGAAAGTAACCTATTTTGCGGCAGGAGCGAGCAGGAGAGAGAGCGATAGGGGTAGGGAGAAGGGAGGGTGAGAGAGATCTGGCAATTTTTTTAGGGTTTTGAAAAATCCTGTTAAGAGATTCAAAGGTCAGTTGAGCGCATAACAACCCCGATTTTTCTTTCGCTTCTTCTTTTTGTAATTAGAGCTAATTTCCTTCTTAATATTCTCTTTCTCAAGTTAATAAGAACAAAAAAAAAAAGATTCAATTTTCCACGGAAGAGAAAATGGTGAGTTTGATTTGGTATTTGATGATGTTTGTGTGTGAGAAAGAGGTGTGCTTATCATGTGCAGGAGGAGGCGAGTGTGAGAGATTTAGAGAGAGAAGAGTGGTCTCAGAGAGGATTTTTTTGTGTATTAGGGTCTGTTTCCCCCCACGTCCCTCGCTTTCCGTTCTCTCGCCCGGCGTTTCTTCTCCATCTCTATTTTATGGAGCGAAAGCTCGTGGTTAGTGATTTATTGCTTGTCAATTTACGGCTATGATTTCGATCTTTTTTCTTTTCCTTGGCGTGTTTGGTGGATTGAGTTTGGTTCTTCTTTATTTCACTGACGCAGTTTTGTGTATGACTAGGTTTTGGGGATTCCATGGGATGTTGATACTGTCGGATTGAGGGAGTATATGAGCAAATTTGGGGACTTGGAGGATTGTATTGTCATGAAGGTTGGCCCTTTAACCTTGCTCTCTGTTTTATTCCTTTAAGTTCATGGTAATGTAGTATCACACTGATCGGGTTGTATTATTTACCATCACTTTAGCCTCATAAAGAAAAAAACCTTTTTATATTAAAATACTCTTGTTGGTATATGTACATGGAATATATTGTTGCATCAAACACTTGGACCTTTTTTGGGTTGAAGTTAATGAAAGAAAGGGAAACAAAAGAAATTTTGGTTTTTGAAAGTAAAGGAAATGATTATTGTAACTTCTGTTTATTCTAGGTTATAGAGGAAAAGAAAGATGTATCATACTATAAATGAAATAACAAATTAGAATGTTTAGGATCTAAGAACTTATTTTTAATGTTGTGTAAAGCCCTTTCCTTTCCCGACCTTTTCCATTTCCTCCAATTTAGGCTACTTTTGTTTGCAGATATTTAAGTGCTAGATTTGCCATCAAATTTTTTGATGTACCAGTGGATTTGTATGTGTATCTGGGTATTCAGATACATCTTTTGCAACTTCGATTTATATGCTTGTTTGTTATTGATTTGATTGGGAATTGTTTGGATGAGTGGATATAGGTAAATAGATGGATATAGACATATAGATGCAGATAAGTATTTTAAAAAAACTACTGACTTTTTCTGCTAGATAGTGCAATCTTATTACATCATTATTGTTTTTTGGGCTCTATGCTAGGGACTCGATCATGGAAATTATACACTTCTGTGCAGATATGGATAGTTTAATTACTTGTAATTTTATTTTTAATTTTTGGTTAAATACGGAAAGTGTTTGTTTTATTATTTGTGTCATATTAGGAGAGGTCAACTGGCAGATCTCGTGGTTTTGGATACGTAACATTTGCATCGGTTGAAGATGCTAAGGTATTTGCAAGTTAACAATTTCTCGTAGTTCAACTTCTATGCCTTGCATTTTAAGTTTATGGTTAATGTGCTACTTGCTCAAATTCCGTATTGGATCTGTAATTAAGAGATGAGCTTACTTGCCTGATAATTCCTAATGTGCAGAATGCACTATCAAATGAACATTTCCTTGGAAACAGAATGCTGGAAGTAAAAGTTGCTACACCAAAGGTTGGATTAGAAAATCTTGAAACACTTTTAACATCTTTTCTCTTTTCATTCTTCTTCACTTAATAACTACTTCTTTTGCAGGAGGAAATGAGGGCACCTGCCAAGAAAGTGACCAGAATATTTGTCGCTAGGATTGCTCCATCTGTGACAGAAGCAACCTTCCGTAGGTAATTAGACTTGATTTGATGTATATATTTTATGAACATGATCTATGAGCTATTATGAGAAATGAACTTTATCTTTGAAATACCTCTTTCAGTCATTTTGAGAAGTATGGCGAAATTACAGACTTGTACATGCCCAAGGTGCTTGCCATCTCCCTTGCTCTCTTGTGGTCTTGTGTACCCATGCAGTTGTATAAGTGAATGCATATTTGACTAATTTTGATATCTTAAATGAGAAGTTATAATATTTGACAATTTCTGGTCTTCTTTTAGGATCAAGGCTCAAAAGCACACCGGGGAATTGGGTTTATTACTTTTGCAAGTGCTGGTCAGTGCATTTATTTTCCTGAGTACCTCTACTTCTAGGTCGTTACATGATTATGGTGATATTTGGTTTCCACTATTAAGTTTTTGAAAACATGGATCTTTCCCTATTAAATAGACTGTCAAGTCTAGAAAGAGATTTGACTTGTACATAGAGATAGGCAGCAGTAAAACCAATAATTATTGATGAAATATGTTGAGTTTTATTTAAAAATCCTTATAGTTACCTTGATATGAGATGAAAACTATGACGGATGATTATTTCGGTGTTGTGAAAATATTAAAGCTATCAAATTCTGAACTTTGTAATTTGGCTGGCAACCAGTTAATAGTTGTGAGAGATATGGTTACCTAGCATATTTCTATGATATATATATATGTCCATGTTATATGTTATCTTTAGCTGTACACAGGAAGGTAACGTAATGATTCTACTTTGCAGATTCTGTGGAAACTTTGATGATGGATACTCATGAATTGGGAGGTTCCTCTGTAGTTGTTGACCGTGCAACACCCAAGGTAAGTTAATCATTTTCTTGCCGTTAGGGTCCCTAAAATGGGATCTAGGTATGGGGTGGTTTTGAAAGAGGAGAAAGGCTCCTTCAATCTATTAAGAAGTGACTCCTTAGATCTCTTAAAGTGAGCTCTTCAAGCTCCGAGTTTAAAAATTGAAACAGGACTTTTTTATATGAATTCTTCTTACTTTGTTTTTCATAAATGTTGCGGATTTATACACAATTTTAGACCAAGATTGGATCTTAAAACTATCTCCTAACGAATAGATAACTTCCAAACTGCCTGGAACAACTTCTGCCTACTTCTAACAATAAAGGAAATTATGAACAGTTCTAATTGACAGTATCTAGGAATTAAAGAAACTTAACACATGTTTCATTTTCATGTGTAAATTACTGATTTGGCCGCAAACAACTTGCTGTCCCCTTCAAGGAGGTGCTTATCCTGTAGTGCAAAAAAAGAGTAACAGGAAGAGGTAGTAGAAAGTTTTTAACATTGATGGCCAAGGAGAAATTTTTCATCACTGATTATAATGAGTTCCCTCTCCCATGTATCCTCCATCTCTACCTTGCTCAAGCATTTAACTAATTGTGGCCTTGAAGTAGAAGAACTAACTTTCTCTAAAAAAATAAATTATTATTAACCTGCTGCTATGCTCTCCTTGTGCAACGTAGGCGAACTAATGGCAGTAGATAGGTCACTTGGTTGCTGCAATTCTCCTTAAGAGCAATGATGCAAGGCATTCACAAAATTTGGACCTCTCGCTCTTGAGTCAGACTGCTTGCACGGGCTGCAGAGTATTCAAAGTGGAAACTTTGGTTGTAATCCTCCCCTTCTAAATGGGAAGAGGTTGACACAACTATTTCTTCTTCATGTGTTTTTGGGTGGTGGAAGAGGCTCTGGAAGATTCAGCCACCCTAATGGATCAATATTGCCATCGAAATATCAGTCATTTGATTATATAGGAACATAAATAGCACCATCTTCATTTTCTGCTTCCACTGCATGTAGGTCATGACTTCCTTTATTTGACACCCTCCTCACATAAAACTCATGCTTTTTTCCAAAAAAAGGTGTTGAGAGAGTACCTCTGGTTGAGTGGGCAACTCTTCATGTTTGACTTCATTTCCTGCTCAGTCTTGCTGTCTCCCAGCTCTCTCGTGTGCATGATCTTCTTGGTACAGCTTCACTAATGCCCCCAATTGCTGCGGACAGGTTCCAAAATCTCCCATAACCTCCTGCTTTTGATGGTCCTTTCCTACTTTGGAATCTAGTTATGGGCCTTTTTTAAAAAAAGAAAAGTAGTATAAATAGGCTCCCAAAGGATGCAGCCTGATACAAAATATTACAGTTCTGTCAAAATACTAATCAGGTCCCCGAAGTCCTCATTAGTGGTGAGATGATGACCCTGAATAAAAAGACCTAAGATCTGGAACCAAATATCCTTAATCAAATCAGAAGTTCTATGCCCTAAAAAATTATTTTGTTTCTTTTCTTCCAAATAATCCATGAGGTTGAAAAAGGGATAAGGCCTAAATTCTTAGCATTTATCCCATAAGGTGACTTGTTAAAGAGAACCATGATCTCAAGAGTTTAACAAACTTCTTTTGGTGTTTTCCAAAGTTTGAAAAGGCTGAGCCTCAGACATATGGTCTTGAGATTAACTGCCTGACTTAACTGCATAACTCTATACAGCCCACTAAATTGCATAAAGAACTAAATACAAGGCATTATGCTGCCTAATTCAGAGGCCTAAATGAAACTAAATACAACTAACCACCGATCAACTACACTTACTGAACTCCTGACTAGCTAGCGGACTTATAACGCATGTTCAACATGTACCCTATAATTTTATTCTGATTCATTTTTGTCTGCTGGATGAAAGTAGCTCTTTTTAGGTATTGTATCTTGTCTCACTTAAAAGTTGATTTGTCTATATATCTTATTGCCAGGAGGATGACTTCAGGCCAGTAGGCAGAATGTCACAAGGTGGATATGGTGCGTACAGTGCTTATATTTCAGCAGCTACTAGATATGCCGCGCTAGGTGCTCCGACATTATATGATCATCCAAGTTCTGTATATGGAAGTAAGTACGTCTGCATGGGTAGCATGCACTGTAAAAGATTACTTATATGGCCATTTCTCATTTTTGTTTTAATTCTGTCTCAATAGGAGAACCCATGCGTGGGATGGGTAAAAAGATTTTTGTTGGTAGGCTTCCTCAGGAAGCTACTGTTGATGATCTTCGCCAATATTTTGGTAGATTTGGTCGTATATTAGATGTTTATGTTCCCAAGGTAAATTGATGTAAATGTGGTGAATTAAATGAAAATACATATACAAGGCAACTTTATAGATATGTAAATGTTAATGTGATGTAGGATCCTAAGAGAGCTGGCCATAGAGGTTTTGGTTTTGTGACTTTTGCTGAAGATGGTGTGGCAGATCGTGTATCTCGAAGAACTCATGAGATTTGTGGACACCAGGTATTACTCCATTAACAAATCCTTGAAGTATCAAATAGTTCCTTGGTTTCATTCTTTTATATTGAAGCATGGTTTTTTTTATTTGTAAGAGGATAAGTTTTCTTTTTGTCGAAAAATTGTGCTTAAAGCACCTGAGTGGGATTGATTTCAACAAATTGTGACATTTATATCCTTTTATTTTGCAGGTTGCAATAGATTCAGCCACACCTCTTGATGATGCCGGCCCTAGCGGAAACTTCATGATGAATACTGCTGCTGAATCTTTTGGAGGTTATGGTGGTCCTGTGCGCACTTACGGCAGAATGTATGGCAGCATGGATTTTGATGACGTAAGTATTCACATTGACCTGCTTCATCATAGATAGCCGTATTTATTGGGACCAAATAACGAGATGTTCTTGCAGCCATATGAGTGCATGTAATTTTGATATTTTAAAAGGGTTAGTTGATACGCCTTTCTTTGTCTGCAGTGGGGTTATGGAATGGGAAGTGGGAGACCATCAAGGGCAGAGTGGAGGTACAGACCCTACTAAGAATTGCTGCATTGGAAAGGAAGGATTGGCCTCAGACAGGGTCATCTTTTTAGGTTAAAAAATATGCTGCGATCTGGTCAATGGAAACTAGTGTATTAATAGTTATTAACTTTCTGGATAATGTGGGTGGGTTTTAGTTTTCCAGTAACCC